GACACACCCTCTATCTGACTTTTCTATCTCTGTTACAAAAAGCACGGTCCATATATCTTACCAGAGAATCTCCCACAATTAGAATATTCTTACCTTGATGTGCAGGGGAATCAGTGGTACCTTTAACCTCATTAGAAACTGAAGTACTCTCGTCCTAGAGAGCAGAGAATCGATTTCCTACCTTCACATGTTCTCTATTAACCTTCTTTATCATCCTTCTTCCTGAAATGTGATCCACTTGCCACTTAAAGCGGCTGCCACTCTCCAAATCACTGCTGGAAACATTTTCCTCCTCACCAGCTACAACCATCTCGCACTCACTCCCAAATCCCTCAAGACGAAGCTTCAGCCTCCTATTTTCCTCCTGAAGAAGTAGAATCTCCTTCTTAACCACTTAAACCTGAGATTTTAAAACACTACAACAAGCCATGGTGCTAGGTAACACCCCACACTAATCTCAGAGAGCTTAGGACAGGTATGACTACACGTGATCACTGACCTCTGCGTACGACGGAAAGAAATAAAGCTTCCGTCCATCTCCTTGGATCAAATTTAATTCCCTCCCATTCCCCTAGATGTTGGATGACCCTCCCATTCCCCTAGATGTTGCAAGACCCCTCCCATTCCCCCTAGATGTTGCATGACCCTCCCATTCCCCTAGATGTTGCAAGACCCCTCCCATTCCCCCTAGATGTTGCATGACCCTCCCATTCCCCTAGATGTTGCATGACCCTCCCATTCCCCTAGATGTTGCATGACCCTCCCATTCCCCTGATGTGCAAGACCCCTCCCATTCTCCAAGATGTTGCTTGACCCCTCCCATTCCTATAGATGTTGCATGACCCTCCCATTCCCCTAGATGTTGCAAGACCCCTTCCATTCCCCTAGATGTTGCATGACCCTCCCATTCCTATAGATGTTGCAAGACCCCTCCCATTTCCCTAGATGTTGCAAGACCCCTCCCATTCTCCTAGATGTTGCGTGACCCTCTCATTCCTGAAAAATGTTGCATGACCCTCAGATTCCCCTAGATGTTGCATGACCCTCCCATTCCCCAAGATGTTGCAAGGTCCCTCCCATTTCCCTAGATGTTGCATGACCCTCCCATTTCCCTAGATGTTGCAAGACCCTCCAATTCCCCTAGATGTTGCAAGGCCCCTTCCATTTCCTTAGATGTTGCATAACCCTCCCATTCCCCTAGTTGCTGCATGACCCTCCCATTCCCCTAGATGTTGTATGGCCCTCCCATTCCCCTAGATGTTGCATGACCCTCCCATTCCCCTAGATGTTGCAAGACAAATCCCATTCCCCTAGATGTTGCATGACCCTCCCATTCTAAGATGTTGCATGACCCTCCCATTTCCCTAGATGTTGCATGCCCCTCCCATTCCCCTAGATGTTGTATGACCCTCCCATTTCCCTAGATGTTGCAAGACCCCTCCCATTCCCCTATATGTTGCAAGACCCCTCCCATTCCCCTAGATGTTGCATGACCCTCCCATTCCCTAGACGTTGCATGACCTTACCATTCCCTTAGATGTTGCAAGACCCCTCCCATTCCCCTAAATGTTGCATGACCCTCCCATTCCCCTAGATGTTGCAAGACCCTCCAATTCCCCTGATGTTGCATGACCCTCCCATTACTGAAAAATGTTGCAAGACCCCTCCCATTTCCCTAGATGTTGCAAGACCCCTCCCATTCTCCTAGATGTTGCAAGACCCCTCCCATTCTCCTAGATGTTGCGTGACCCTCACATTCCTGAAAAATGTTGCATGACCCTCAGATTCCCCTAGATGTTGCATGACCCTCCCATTTCCCAAGATGTTGCAAGACCCCTCCCATTTCCTTAAATGTTGCATGACCCTCCCATTCCCCTAGATGTTGCAAGACCCTCCAATTCCCCTAGATGTTGCATGACCCTCCCATTCCCCTAGTAGATGATTCCCATCGAAAATGGCCCCTCCCATTTCCCTAGATGTTGCAAGGCCCCTCCCATTCCCCTAGATGTTGCATGGCCCCCATTTCCCTAGATGTTGCATGGCCCTCCCATTCCCCTAGATGTTGCATGACCTTCCCATTCCTGAAAAATGTTGCAAGACCCCTCCAATTCCCATAGATGTTGCATGACCCCCATTTCCCTAGATGTTGCATGGCCCTCCCATTCCCCTAGATGTTGCATGACCTTCCCATTCCCCTAGATATTGCATGGCCCTCCCATTCCCCTAGATGTTGCATGACCCTCCCATTCCCCTAGATATTGCATGACCCTCCCATTCCTCTAGATGTTTCATGACATTCCCATTCCCCTAGATGTTGCATGACCCTCCCATTCCCCTAGATGTTGCATGACCCTCCCATTCCCCTAGATATTGCATGACCCTCCCATTCCCCTAGATATTGCATGACCCTCCCATTCCCTAGATGTTGCATGACCCTTCCATTCCCCTAGATATTGCATGGCCCTCCAATTCCCCTAGATATTGCATGACCCTCCCATTCCCTAGATATTGCATACCCTCCCATTTCCCCTAGATATTACATGACCCCCATTCCCCTAGATATTGCATGACCCTCCCATCCCCATAGATATTGCATGACCCTCCATTCCCCTAGATATTGCATGACCCTCCCATTCCCCTAGATATTGCATGACCCTCCCATTCCCTAGATATTGCATGACCCTCCCATTCCCCTAGATATTGCATGACCCTCCCATTCCCCTAGATATGCATGACCCTCCCATTTCCCTAGATATTGCATGACCCTCCCATTCCCTAGATATTGCATGACCCTCCCATTCCCCTAGATATTACATGACCCTCCCATTCCCCTAGATATTGCATGGCCCTCCCATTCCCCTAGATATTGCATGACCCTCCCATTCCCCTAGATATTGCATGGCCCTCCCATTCCCCTAGATATTACATGACCCTCCCATTCCCCAAGATATTGCATGACCCTCCCATTCCCCTAGATATTGCATGACCCTCCCATTCCCCTAGATAGTGTATGACCCTCCCATTCCTCTAGATATTGCATGACCCTCCCATTCCCCTAGATATTGCATGACCCCTCCCATTTCCCTAGATATTGCACGACCCTCCCATTCCCCTAGATATTGGATGACCCTCCCATTCCCCTAGATATTGCATGATCCTCCCATTCCCCTAGATATTGCATGACCCTCCCATTTCCCTAGATATTGCATGACCCTCCCATTCCCCTAGATATTGCATGACCCTCCCATTTCCCTAGATATTGCATGACCCTCCCATTCCCCTAGATATTGCATGACCCTCCCATTCCCCTAGATATTGCATGACCCTCCCATTCCCCTAGATATTGCATGACCCTCCCATTCCCTAGATATTGATGACCCTCCCATTCCCCTAGATATTGCATGACCTCCCATTCCCCTAGATATTGCATGACCCTCCCATTCCCCTAGATATTGGCATGACCCCCCCATTCCCCTAGATATTGCATGACCCTCCCATTCCCCTAGATATTGCATGACCTCCCATTCCCCTAGATATTGCATGACCCTCCCATTCCCTAGATATTGCAATGACCCTCCCATTCCCCTAGATATTGCATGATCCTCCCATTCCCCTAGATATTGCATGACCCTCCCATTCCCCTAGATATTGCATGACCCTCCCATTCCCTAGATATTGCATGACCCTCCCATTCCCCTAGATATTGCATGACCCTCCCATTCCCCTAGATATTGCATGACCCTCCCATTCCCCTAGATATTGCATGACCCTCCCATTCCCCTAGATATTGCATAACCCAACCATTCCCCTAGATATTGCATGACCCTCCCATTCCCCTAGATATTGCATAAACCCTCCCATTCCCTAGATATTGCATGACCCTCCCATTCCCCTAGATATTGCATGACCCTCCCATTCCCCTAGATATTGCATGACCCTCCCATTCCCCTAGATATTGCATGACCCTCCCATTCCCTAGATATTGCATGATCCTCCCATTCCCCTAGATATTGCATGACCCTCCCATTCCCCTAGATATTGCATGACCCTCCCATTCCCCTAGATATTGCATGACCCTCCCATTCCCTAGAATTCATGCCCTCCCATTCCCCTAGATATTGCATGACCCTCCCATTCCCTAGATATTGCATGACCCTCCCATTCCCTAGATATTGCATGACCCTCCCATTCCCTAGATATTGCATGACCCTCCCATTCCCCTAGATATTGCATGACCCTCCCATTCCCTAGATATTGCATGACCCTCCAATGGAATCATTCATGAAATAAATTACAATTAAGAAAAACATTGGCCTGTCATTTTATCTTTGACTCTTCATGTGATCATCTTTCTTAATGCTTACCTATATGATTATATCATCAAAAGTAAGTAATAGGTAAGGGAAGGTTGGATATCATACTGGAGGGAGAGATTGTTGAGGAGGTGATTGTATTCAGCTATTTGGGAGTGGACGTGTTAGCAGATCCTCATGGCAGAGACAGGAAACTCCAGACCTACGCTTTAGTCACTGGGTGTGGTTTGCATATCGCCTCGTTATTAGCTGAATCAATTATTTGCTAATCGCATTTTCTGTCAATCTTGCTAATCAACTTTCTTCAAGTTGACTGGAAAGATTGATTATCTATGATATAAGACGCCTTTGATAAGTAATTTGGTTCCAGTCTTCTTGATACTGCTCTCCCAACTGTGTCTATCACAGTGATATGTTTGTGTCAGCCTTGGTAATTATGCCATAATTACCCACAACATGTCAGGTAAAGGATACTGTTGCAACTAATGTGACATTTTTAGGCAATGTTTCGCTCTCCAGGAGCTCTGTCAAGCTTCTGTCGACAGAAAGTGCGACATCCTACCTGCAGCTTCAACAAAAATGTTTATATAGGAATCAGATGATAGAAGATCAAAATTCCACATATTTAACACTTAATTAATATGTTATGTTTAAATATTTTCGACTAATTAAAACTTCTGTCGTCAGGTTCTTCACCCGGAAAACTCAGACGACTGGACGCTGCATATAAAGTTCACTACCGAACGTGACGCTGGTGTTTACGAGTGTCAAGTTAACTCAGATCCTAAGATCAGCCGTAAAGTTACACTCACTATCAAAGGTAAGAGAAGGCAGGCACTCGCTCTTAGGGTCAGCTCTCAAAAGTAAGAGAGGGCAGGCACCCGCTCCTAGGGTCAACTCTCAAAAGTAAGAGAGGGCAGGCACCCGCTCCTAGGGTCAACTCTCAAAAGTAAGTGAGGGCAGGCACCCGCTCCTAGGGTCAACTATCAAAAGTAAGAGAGGGCAGGCACCCGCTCCTAGGGTCAACTCTCAAAAGTAAGAGAGGGCAGGCACCCGCTCCTAGGGTCAACTCTCGAAGGTAAGAGAGGGCAGGCACCCGCGGGCCTCCTAGGGTCAACCTCTATCTCAAAAGTAAGAGAGGGCAGCCCCGCTCCTAGGTCAACTATGTAGACAGCACGACCGGCATTAAGATAAAAGTAACAGACAACCTTACCAACTGCTTAAGTCCAGATTTCCCTTGGTCAACTCACGTAGATGGTTGCATTGTACGTATCACAGCTCCTGTGCCCCGCTATTCACTGAATTCATTGTCAGTCACTCTGCTCCAAGAGCTTACTGAATTCCTAGGTACTCTCTCAAAGTCTATTGATATGGATCCTGCCTCTACTACATCACTTCTCAGACAGTTCCACTTACTGACTACTCTGTGGCTGAAGAAATGCTTCCTAACATCCCTGTGATTCATCTGAGTCTTCATCTTTCAACTTTGACCCCTTGTTGCTGTGTCCCATCTCTGGAACATCCTGTCTCTGTCCACCTTGTAAATTCCTATCAGTATTTTGTATGTCGTTATCATGTCCCCCCTATCCCTTGTGTCCTGCAGTGTCGTCAGTCGCGTTCCCTTAACCTCTCCTCGTAAAACATGCTCCTTAACTCAGGGACTAGTCTTGTTGCAAACCTTTGCACTTTCTCTAGTTTCTTTACGTGCTTGGCTAGGTGTGGGTTCCAAACTGGTGTCGCATACTTCAATATGGGCCTAACGTACACGGTGTACAGTATCCTGAACGACTTCTTAGTGAGATGCCAGACTGCTATTGTTAGGTTTGCCAGCCGCCCATATGCTGAAACAGTTATTTGATTGAAGGGCGCCTCAGGAGATGTGTTCTATGAGGTTTGTAGTTTCTGGACCCCTAGACTGTACTCCGTCTGCGGTATTCTTTGCCCTTCCACAATCTTCATGACTTTGCATTTAATGGGATTGAACTCCAGGAGCCAATTGCTGGACCAGGCTTACAGCCTATCCAGTTGTTGGACCAGGCTTGCAGCCTGTTCAGATGCCTCTGTAGTCCTGCCTGATCCTCCTCCAACTGAATTCTCCTCGTTAACTTTACACCGTTTGCAAACGGAGACACTTCAGAGTCTGATGGAATGTGTGTTTGTATATATATATATAATATATATATATATATATATATATAATATATATTATATATATAATATATATATATATATATATATAATATATATATATATATATATATATATATATATATATATATATATATATATATATATATGTGCTCACCTATTTGTGGGTGCAGGGGTCGAGTCATAGATCTTGGCTCCACCATTTCTCTGATTGCTACTATTTCTAATGTTCTAAAAATATTATAATTAATATGTTACGTAGTTATTGTGAAAGGTTACTCTGTTCCTCTCTCTCTCTCTCTCTCTCTCTCTCTCTCTCTCTCTCTCTCTCTCTCTCTCTCTCTCTCTCTCTCTTTTTTTTTTTTTTTTTTTTTTTTTTTTTTTACACATGGTTTGACAAGGTTAAGGATCCCTAGCTTTATTGACAAGCTATTTACAGGTTAAGGATTCCTAACTTTATTGACAAGCTAAGAGCTGTTACCTACATCAGCTCATTTGAAAGCATTTTTATTGTTATGAGACATACAAGTAGGGAACAGGATGAAGTTGGAGCCATCTGTGGGCCAGCATTTTCATTTGATCAACTGACGTTATCTCGTTGACATCATTATGCTGAACGAATGTGTTCCATACTCGAGTCATCCTGGGTATGTATGATCTCAGATGGAGTGATGTTCTGGAGAAGGGTACAGCCAGAGTGAAGTTGCTGCTTTCTGCCCGTCTTGTGGCATAAAAGCTTGTTTCGCGCTGTCCTCGAAGTGGATCCAAGTGTGGTATTTTGACAATATTGGCCTTGTACATAACAGTAAGGCCACCCACATCCCTCCTATGTTGAAGGCTCTGCTGAAATGACAGATCCATCCAGGATGGGTCCAGGCCGAGAGATGAGACGCCTGCTCTGTTCTCTACTCTGTCAAGCAGTCGCAGATGAAGGGGGGACAGGGAAACCAAGAAAGTGGAGCATACTCAAGGTGGTGAGCGTACTTGTGCCTCGTACAGTACTTGCAACCCCTACTGTCAAACAGATGCGATATACGGCGAAGTGCTGTAAAACTTCCTGGCTGCCTGTTTGCAAGATTTACAACATGGTTCTCTCTCTCTCTCTCTCTCTCTCTCACTCTCTCTCTCTCTCTCTCTCTCTCTCTCTCTCTCCTCGCTTTCCTCTCTCTCTCGCTTTCCTCTCTCTCTCTCTTTCTCTCTCTTCCCTCTCTTCTCCCCTTTTCTCTCTCTCTCTCTCTCTCTCTCTCCCCCCTCTCTCTCCCCCTCCTCTCTCTCTCTCTCTCTCTTTTCTCTCCTCTCTCTCTCTTCTCTCTCCTCTCTCTTCTCTCTCCCCCTCTCATCTCTCTCTCTCTCTCTCTCTCGCTTTCTCTCTCTCTCTCGCTTTCCCCTCTCTCTTCTTTCTCTCTCTTCTCTCCCCTCTCTCTCTCTCTCTCTCTCCTCTCTCGTCTCTTTTCTCTCTCTCTCTCCTCTCTCTCTCTCTCTCTCTCCCCTCTCTCTCTCTCTCCCTCTCTCTCTCTCTTCTCTCTTCTCTCTCTCGCTTTCCTCTCTCCCCTCGCTTTCTCTCTCTCCTTTTTCTCTCTTCCTCTCTCTTCTCTCTCCCCTCTCCTCTCTCTCTCTCTCTCCTCTCTCTCTCCCCTCTCTCTCCTCTCCCCTCTCTCTCCCCTCTCTCTCCTCTTCCTCTCTCTCTCTCTCTCTCCTCTCTCTCTTCTCTCTCTCTCTCTCTCTCTCTCGCTTTCCTCTCTCTTCGCCTTTCTCTCTCTCTCTCTTTCTTCTCTCTTTTCTCTCTCTCTCTCTCTCTCTCCCCTCTCTCCTCTCCCCCTCTCTCTCCCCCTCTCTCTCCTCTCTCCCCCTTTTCCTCCCCTCTCCCTCTCCCCTCTCTCCCCTCTCTCTCTCTCTCTCTTCTCCTCTCCTCTCCCCCCTCTCTCCCCTCTCACTCTCTCTCTTCCTCTCTTTCTTTCTCTTTCACTCTCACTCTCTTTCCTTCTCACACACACACACACTCAGGCCAGGAGCTGTGACTCGACCCCTGCAACGACAACAAGGTGAGTACACACACTAGGGTCAATCCTAGTGCTGTTTCTGGTGAACAAGAATGACAAGATGTAAGAGATAGACTCAGAAATGCCCCTGTTTGCAGATGATGTGAAATTAATGAGGGGAATTCAAATGGATGAAGATCAGGAAGGACTACAAAGGATCTGGTCAGGCTCCAAACCTGGTCCAACAACTGGTTTCTGGAGTTTAATCCCACCAAGTGCAAAGTTATGAAGATCGGGGAAAGGCAAAGAAGACCGCAAACGGAGTACAGTCTAGAGAGGCCAAATACTACAAACCTCACTCATGGAAAAGGATCTTGGGGTGAATATAATACCGGGTACATCTCCTAAGGCGCACATCAACCAAACAATTGCTGCAGCATATGGGCGACTAGCAAACCTCAGAACAGCATTCCGATATGTCAGTAAGAAGACGTTCCAAACCCTGTACACCGTGTATGTCAGGCCCATATTGGAGTATACAGCACCAGTTTGGAACCCACACCTGGCCAAGCACGTCAGGAAACTAGAGAAAGTGCAAAGGTTTACAACGAAACTAGTCACTGGGCTAAGGGGCATGTCCTACGAGGAGAATTTAAGGCAACACGATCTGACGACAATGGCGGACAGGAGGGACAAGGGAGATATGATAACGATATATATAATACTGAGAGGAATCGACAAGGTGGACAGAGCCAGGATGTTTCAAAGATGTGACACAGCAGTAAGAGGTCACATTTGGAAGTTGAAGACTCAGATGAGTCACAGGGACATTCGGTCTATGTCTTCAGTCATAGACCTATCGGGAAGTGAAATTGTCTGGAAAGCGATGTTGTGGAGGCAGGTACCATACATAGCTTCGAGAAGAGGTGGAGGAGGGAGAGAGTGGATCTGGTGGTGACCAGTGAAGAGGTGGGGCTAGGAGCTATGAATCGACCCCTACAACTACAATTAGGTGAGTACATTAGGTGATTACACATACACACACACGCATACACACAGAGACACACGCACACACTCTCTCACATGCACACACACACTCCTCTACACAAAGTTTTCAGAGTGCAGAAACTAGAGCATTCTAACAGGATAAAATGAAAATGGGATCTCAGATGGGAGGACTTAGAGGCATGGGAACCAAGAATATCTGATCTGAAAGGGAAGAATGGAGAGGAAGATTCTAGAGCCAAATGGAAGAAGAATTGAAAAAAAAGACTAAACCAGCAACAAACTGAGGTTAACATGACTCACGAAATCGTAATGACACGATTGTAAACAAACCATACCCCGGCCGGGATTGAACTCGCGGTCAGAGAGTCTCAAAACTCCAGACCGTCGCGTTAGCCACTAGACCAGCTAGCTACAATAAGATTAGTCCAACTAGGTATTTCTAGGTATATTTCGTCTGTAAAAACTTGCATTTGTGGTCACAGTGGTGCCTATGCTAACCTTCCTATGGTGTAGAAATATACCTAGTTGGACGAATCTTATTGTGGCTAGCTGGTCTAGTGGCTAACGCGACGGTCTGGAGTTTTGAGATTCTCTGACCGCGGGTTCAATCCCGGCCGGGGTATGGTTTGAGCTGTAGTTGCTTAGTCATAGATACAGAGCCTGGAGGAAGGGCTTAAAAGCACTGAAGTAGGATATAAAAACGAGGACCGAAAGAGCAAGATGGTAGAAAAAGAAACGTCAGTGTACAATGAGGGAGCAAAAGGAGGGGATGGAGCTAAGAAGTCCATTGTGGAGTAATATGTGGCCACCAGGGTGTCTGAGAGATGATAAACGGTACAACAAAGGAGATGTTTAAATTGGATCCAGAGATACGGAGGGAAAAGAAATAGGAAGAAGAGATGGAGAGGTCAATAATTATTCATGGTCTTTAAGAGGCAGAAGTGACGACCTATGATAAAAGAAGACATTGTGAGGAAAAAGAGATTGAGAGCATCATCGCAATAACAGGAAATAAGAAATTGTCCCAAGTAACAAATTTTCACAGACTTGGGGTATTCAAGGGTAAAAATCACCCAATCAAATAGACATTCAAGACAGAAGTAGTACAGAACAGGATACTGAAACAGAAACTACTGTTAAAGAACTCCTAAAATTATCAGTGAGTGCACCTCAACCACAATAGAACACAAAGAGAGCAGAAACATCTAAGTGTGAGAGTAAGAAGACAACAGTGAAAGGAAAGAGCCAGGGTAGGCATCGACAGACAGGAAAGCTCAGTTTCAGGAGGAATACCAAGCAAATGCTTACAGAACCCCTCAACACCTACTACCCCATATCAACCAAACACAATAACCAGAAATAAACCACACTCCACAGCCCCTCCCCATCACAGCAGCTTTTTACAATATCTCACCTGCCTTCAATACCCCCATTCCACTCCAGCTCCTCTCTCCCTCCTCCAAAAATACAATATTGGAAAGGAAGCTGAAAGTATGGTACATCATCGCTGATGGAATAACAAATAAGACTGAGGAGTGGCAAGAACGAATCATTGAGGCATCCCTGAACATCACAGCACTCATGGAGACAAAGTTCAAGGGGATGATAACAGATGCAATCTTCCCAGAAGGATATCAGATCCTGAGGAAAGAAGGAACAGAAAAGGGAGGAGGAGTCGCACTGCACATCAAAAATGAGTGGAATTTTGAGGAAACTGGATGATTGGATATAGGAAAAACAAATGACTTCATAGTATGAACACTTCACACCTGGGCAGCATAACCCTTGGCGGTTTAGCTCTTTATCTGATTATAATAATATAATTCAGCCTTGGGGTCCAAAGTTGATGATAGCAGTGATGTGCAACCCACAACTAAACAGCAAGAGACCAAGACAAGAGTATTATGAGAGCAATGGAGCAGTAGTGGATACAGTAGCAGAGGTGGCCAGATGGGTCCAAATGGGTAGGACAAAGTTACTGGTCATGATGGTGCTCCCTTCAAGGTGCTGTACTGCATGGTGTATGCGCACCTTGCAAATGCAGCAAACCCCGACACTTTCAACACCACTATAAACGAACTATTCCGTCGAACAACATGCCTGCCTTTGTTTTCCTGGCCTCCACACCTTCAGCCGACATCCTCAAGATTCTTTCCAAAGTCGTGAACTTTACTGCATCTGCAGACCTGTCTCCTGCCCATGCAACTGTCCCTAAATCTTCTACAACCACGTCCACTGCCGACAACGCTGATTATTCTGCCTCAACCACCGCCTCCCACGTCTCCCAGCCTTTTGACACACCACCAGTACACCTCCACTGCTCCTGCCGACGTACCGTCACCTGCCAGTACCATTGTAGACTCACCCACTGAATACACTTCCGAAGAAGTTGTTGATGACTACGGTACACCCTCATAGGAAAACCTTACCTTCTACACTTCTCCATCTAACGCTGACACCATGACCTGCACTGAGCTCTACAAATGCCACGGTGCTGGAGCTGTCAAGTTTGCTCGCGAGTCACCTCTTCACTTCACACTTACCCAAGTTCTGGAATATCATCAAGCCTCTACGCTTCGCCTTCGGAAATAAGACTAAACTATACCACCTCTCTAGAAGCAGCTTCAAAAAATTTGAAAACAGCTCCTCTAGAAACCTGCCTCCTTAACCCTGATGTTCCTATCTGCCTGCCCCTGTCCTGTGACCTGGCCCGCTGTCAGCTTCTCAAGACTCAAGACCTCCAACTACCACAAGACAGCTGTAACAGAGCCTGCTATCCCTCGTCTATCTGTCTCACGAGCGCCTAGCTGCTGGGTTAAGCCTAGGCACTTTCTCTATGACTGTCGATACTCCTTTCCAACGCTATTCTTGATCTTGATCTAACCACATACTGGTGAGTACTGTATGTTTTAACCGTCCTTTTGCTGGTCTAGTAACTTGCCAAGTAGCGTAGAGGTAGGTGAGATACACGTCTTTATTGAGATAATGAGGCTTACAGCTGGCAGTGTGAAGTGTGCCGAAACCTGTATGGGATGGGAGCTTGTTAAATGAAAGGCAGCAGGTCTAGGAGTGAGGCCGGGGCATGGCTGCGTATGACTAACCTGAGGCAGTGCCCTCTGGCGGGCATTCACGGGTACTAGGCCCACAACAAATTCACTCCAAGGGAAGACCATGAGAAATAGCAGTAGCTTACTGTCTACATGTACCAGGAACCCGAGAACTCAACACAGTAATGAAAAAGAAGATGACGGTATGGTGCAGTAATACATTGACGTTCTTCTCTTAATTTAGATTAAACACACAGCCTGAAGATTAATTATTTTTATAAATTAATAATCTGGTAAACCTTTATGCTGAGGTATCATTATCATTTATAATAACCTGTGTTATAATAATAATTATTGATACTCTTCTGAGATGATAGATGAATAATGAACTTATATCTTTGCTTGCAGATAGTCAGTTGGACGACCCACTACACTACGGGATAGCCACTACGGATACTAGTGAGTTTACCTCTGTATCTCTGTACCTCTGGTATGTGTCTCTCTGTAGTCATGTATATGCTTCGCTGTATCTCTGTACCTCTGGTATGTGTCTCTCTGTAGTCATGTATATGCTTCGCTGTAGCTCTGTACCTCTGGTATGTGTCTCTCTGTAGTCATGTATATGCTTCGCTGTACCTCTGTACCATCTGTATACATGTCTCTGTATTTATGTACGTATGTGTGTCTCTGTACATTAAATATGTGTATTGCTGCAATTATTTAAGAAGTAGCTCCTCGTATTTCTGTGTCTCATTATGTATGTAATATCTGTCTACCACTGTGTCTCATTATGTCTGCATCTCTGTCCACCTCTGTGTCTCATTATGTCTGTATCTCTGTCTACCACTGTGTCTCATTATGTCTGTATCTCTGTCTACCTCTGTGTCTCATTATGTCTGTATCTCTGTCTACCTCTGTGTCTCATTATGTCTATTTCTGTCTACCACTGTGTCTCATTATGTCTGTAATATCTGTCTACCACTGTGCCTCATTATCTCTGCATCTCTGTCTACCACTGTGTCTCATTATGTCTGCATCTCTGTTCACCTCTGTGTCTCATTATCTCTGCATCTCTGTTCACCTCTGTGTCTCATTATCTCTGCATCTCTGTCCACCTCTGTGTCTCATTATCTCTGCATCTCTGTCCACCTCTGTGTCTCATTATGTCTGCATCTCTGTCCACCTCTGTGTCTCATTACCTCTGCATCTCTGTCCACCTCTGTGTCTCATTATCTCTGCATCTCTGTCCACCTCTGTGTCTCATTATCTCTGCATCTCTGTCCACCTCTGTGTCTCATTATGTCTGCATCTCTGTCCACCTCTGTGTCTCATTACCTCTGCATCTCTGTCCACCTCTGTGTCTCATTATCTCTGCATCTCTGTCCACCTCTGTGTCTCATTATGTCTGCATCTCTGTCCACCTCTGTGTCTCATTATCTCTGCATCTCTGTCCACCTCTGTGTCTCACTATGTCTGCATCTCTGTCTACCACTGTGTCTCATTATGTCTATATCTCTGTCTACCACTGTGTTTCATTATGTCTATATCTCTGTCTACCACTGTGTTTCATTATGTCTGAATCTCTGTCTACCACTCTGTTTCATTATGTTTGAATCTGTCTACCACTCTGTTTCATTATGTCTATATCTCTGTCTACCACTGTATTTCATTATGTCTGCATCTCTGTCTACCACTGTGTATCATTATGTCTGTATCTCTGTCTACCACTCTGTTTCATTATGTTTGAATCTCTGTCTACCACTCTGTTTCATTATGTCTATATCTCTGTCTACCACTGTGTTTCATTATGTCTGTTCTCTGTTACACGGTTTCATTATGTCTGAATCTCTGTCCTCCCCTGTTTTTCATTATGTCTGTATCTCTGTCTACCACTGTGTTTCATTATGTCTGCATCTCTGTTTACCACTGTGTTTCATTATGACTGTATCTCTGTCTACCACTCTGTTTCATTATGTCTGTATCTCTGTCTACCTGTCTGTCTCATGTCTGTATCAACGTTGATGTTCCTTACAATGGTTGGCTGTTACACTTCAATACGTTTATTTTCCGTTTATCAGTCTGAATGTCTGTCTTCCTGAATATGTGTTTAACTGAATAATTCTGTATCTGTCTGTCTGTCTGTCTGTCTGTCTGTCTCTCTCTCTCTGTCTCTCTCTCTCTCTCTTTTCTCTCTCTCTCTCTCTTCTCTCTCCTCTCCTCTCTCTCTCTCTCTCTCTCTCTCTCTCTCTCCCCTCTCTCTCTCTCTCTCTCCTCCTCTCTCTCTCTCCCCTCTCTCTCTCTCTTCTCTCTCTCTCTCTCTCTCTCTCTCAGCTTGGTATCACTCGTTAAATCAACTGTAGTTTTGTACATTATATAGAATCATGTGTATTATATTATATGTTAACTAAGACACTCAGGCGAGGCAAGTGTGTGTGTACTCACCTAGTTGTACTCACCTAGTTGAGGTTGCGGGGGTCGAGTCCGAGCTCCTGGCCCCGCCTCTTCACTGATCGCTACTAGGTCACTCTCCCTGAGCCGTGAGCTTTATCATACCTCTGCTTAAAGCTATGTATGGATCCTGCCTCCACTACATCGCTTCCCAAACTATTCCACTTACTGACTACTCTGTGGCTGAAGAAATACTTCCTAACATCCCTGTGATTCATCTGTGTCTTCAGCTTCCAACTGTGTCCCCTTGTTACTGTGTCCAATCTCTGGAACATCCTGTCTTTGTTCACCTTGTCAATTCCTCTCAGTATTTTGTATGTCGTTATCATGTCCCCCCTATCTCTCCTGTCCTCCAGTGTCGTCAGGTTGATTTCCCTTAACCTCTCCTCGTAGGACATTACCTCTTAGCTCTGGGACTAGTCTTGTAGCAAACCTTTGCACTTTCTCTAGTTTCTTCACGTGCTTGGCTAGGTGTGGGTTCCAAACTGGTGCCGCATATTCCAATATGGGCCTAACATACACGGTGTACAGGGTCCTGAATGATTCCTTATTAAGATGTCGGAATGCTGTTCTGAGGTTTGCCAGCCGCCCATATGCTGCAGCAGTTATTTGGTTGATGTGCGCTTCAGGAGATGTGCCTGGTGTTATACTCACCCCAAGATCTTTTTCCTTGAGTGAGGTTTGTAGTCTCTGACCCCCTAGACTGTACTCCGTCTGCGGCCTTCTTTGCCCTTCCCCAATCTTCATGACTTTGCACTTGGTGGGATTGAACTCCAGGAGCCAATTGCTGGACCAGGTCTGCAGCCTGTCCAGATCCCTTTGTAGTTCTGCCTGGTCTTCGATCGAGTGTATTCTTCTCATCAACTTCACGTCATCTGCAAACAGGGACACCTCAGAGTCTATTCCTTCCGTCATGTCGTTCACAAATACCAGAAACAGCACTGGTCCTAGGACTGACCCCTGCGGGACCCCGCTGGTCACAGGTGCCCACTCTGACACCTCGCCACGTACCATGACTCGCTGCTGTCTTCCTGACAAGTATTCCCTGATCCATTGTAGTGCCTTCCCTGTTATCCCTGCTTGGTTCTCCAGTTTTTGCACCAATCTCTTGTGTGGAACTGTGTCAAACGCCTTCTTGCAGTCCAAGAAAATGCAATCCACCCACCCCTCTCTCTTGTCTTACTGCTGTCACCATGTCATAGAACTCCAGTAGGTTTGTGACACAGGATTTCCCGTCCCTGAAACCATGTTGGCTGCTGTTGATGAGATCATTCCTTTCTAGGTGTTCCACCACTCTTCTCCTGATAATCTTCTCCATGATTTTGCATACTATACATGTCAGTGACACTGGTCTGTAGTTTAATGCTTCATGTCTGTCTCCTTTTTTAAAGATTGGGACTACATTTGCTGTCTTCCATGCCTCAGGCAATCTCCCTGTTTTCGATAGATGTATTGAATATTGTTGTTGTTGTGTGTGTGTGTGTGTGTGTGTGTGTGTGTGTGTGTGTGTGTGTGTGTGTGTGTGTAGATCAGTCTTGACTTGTTTACATTTCTATTCATCTAGTTTAGGATAAGTGCTTAGGAGGTGTTCTTGATTCTCAGCAGCTGTCCTTGATTCTCAGCAGCTGCCTTGATTCTCAGCAGCTGTCCTTGCTTCTCAGCTTACAATGGACAAGTGTCCTTGCTTCTCAGCTTACAATGGACAAGCGTCCTTGCTTCTCAGCTTACAATGGACAAGCGTCCATTCTAACTTCTAACTACCTATCATATTTTGTCTTGGATAATGTGCAGGTCATTGTTTTCCACCGCAGTTTGCAAATCATTTTTTTTTTTTGTAATTCCAAGAATCCAAATATTACTTCCTGCCTTCCCTGTGGCTCAGTTTTTAAGTTTCCATAAATATCACTTTTATTCAGCTAAACTTCATTGAATCTTCTATGTTGTGATTATGTCTCTCCTTTTTCTTATGTCCTCATAGAACTAGTCTGGATACAGACCTCATTCGTATGTTAATTCTTCAACAGTTGTGGATACCATTCAGGTGCAGTATCCTTGATGATGTTGCAGCGTCCTTGATGATGATGCAGCGTCCTTGATGATGTTGCAGCGTCCTTGATGATGTGCTGCCTCATACATTGCTGTCTTAAATGTTCTGCCAGAATCTTTGTTTAAGTTTCTGGAAGTAGTTCTCAAACAAGTCAGCCTGGTTTATGCTGCGGATGTGATGCACTGGAAACATGACTCTAGAAAGTTGTTCCGTGTGATTTAACCTCCAGCCAAATTTCAAGTTTGGAGGGAGAGACAATTAAAAGAAAATCCTCCTCAGTGTTGAATGGCATATGTGTGTGTTATATATATATATACTATATATATATATATATATTTATATATATATAATATATATATATATATATATATATATTATATTTATGAAATAGATCATCAGTAAAAGGTGATTTCAGATTATTGCAAAACAAACCACTCTGAAATAATAGAGAAATTCCAAGCGCTTTCGTGACTAACTCACATTATCAAGGAACTATGAAAGCAAAGCATCCAAGGAAGCTATTACTAAGGGGTCTGACCTAACACGCACTATCAGATTCCCACAACGTTAAACACATGGACGCGCGCCGACCCAAATTGGATATTTCCTTTGCACAACTCACCCCACAAAATATTTACCAAGAAAATTTAAAAAATTATTTGTCCCAGTGTATTATTAAATTTTTCCACAATTCTATTAATTATAAATGGATCTAATTTATATAAAAACCAAAGGAAATTTATATTTTGTCTAAAGACAGAGCACATATCAAGTCTAAAAGACAAGAGCACTATCAGTCTAAAGACAGAGCACTATCAAGTCTAAATGACAGAGCTCCAATCAAAGTTTAATAGACTGAGACCTATCAGTCTGAGAGAGACAGTGGACCGTGATGGATAAGCAAACTAAACACCAATGACGGCTGTAACACTCAGAAAACCTTGTTGATGTGTAACACTCAGAACCTTGTGATGTGTAACACTCCAGACCTTGTGATGTGTAACACCTCCAGAACCTTGTGATGCATAAACACTCCAAGACCTTGTGATGCGTCTAACACTCCAGAACCTTTGTGATTGTGTTAAACACTCTGAACCTTTGATAGTGTAACACTCATGGAACCTTGTGATGTTGTAACACTCCTGAACCTTGTGATGTGTAACCACTCCAGAAACCTTGTGATTACATAACACTCCAGAACCTTGTGATGTGTAACACTCCTTAACCTTGTGATGTGTATCACTCATGAACCTTGTGATGTGTACACTCCTAAACCTTGTGATGTGTAAACAACTCCTGAACCTTGTGATGCTGTAACACTCCTGAACCTTGTTGATGTTGTTGTTAACACTTCTGAACCTTGTGAAGTGTAAACAATCATAAACCTTGTGATGTGTAACAATCCTGAACTTGTGATGTGTAAAAAAATCCAGGACCGCTGTGTGATGCCGTATCACTCCCAGAACCTTGTGATGTTGTAACATCCTGAACCTTGTTGATGTGTAACACTCTGAACCTTGTGAAGTGTAACACTCAAGAACCTTTGTGGATGCGTAAAAACACTCCAGAACTTGTGATGGTAAACTAAGAAACCTTGTGCATGTGTAACACTCCAGAAACCTTGCTGATGTGTAAACTCCAGAATTCCTTGTGATGGCCATTACACTCATGAACCTTGTGATGGTTAACACTACACAGAACCTTGTGATGGTGTAACACTCTGAACATTGTGTGATCTAACCACTCCAGAACCTTGTGATGCATAACAATACAGAAACCTTGTGATGCATAAACACTCACAGAAACCTTGTGATGTGTAAACACGCCGGAAAACATGGGACTGTGTAACACTCCTGAACCTTGTGTATGTGTAACACTCCTGAACCTTGTGATGTGTAACATCTTCATGAACCTTTGTGTGGAGTAACACTCCAGAACCGTTGTGTGCGTAAACACTCCAGAACCTTGTGATGTTGTACACTCCTGAACATTGTGATGTGTAACACTCAGAACTTGGATGGTAACCTCCGAACCTGTGTGTGTACACTCCGAACCTTGTATGAACACTCCTGACTGTGTGTAACACTCCAGAACCATTAATAGAATGTGTAAACACCTGAACCTTTAGTGTAACACCCGAACCTGTGATGTAACACTCCGAACTTGATGTTAACATCCGAACCTTTGATGTAACACTCGAACCTGTGATGTGTACACTCCAGAACCTTGATTGTAACATCTGAAATTTGAGTGTACATCCTGAACCTTGTGATGGTAACACTCAAACTTGATGTTAACACTCCGACCTTTATGGTACACTCCAAACTTGGATGGTAACCTTGAAACTTGGTGGTAACACCCCTGACCTTGTGATGTTAAACCAACTTTTTTTTTTTTTTTTCCGAACTGGATGTAACACTCTGAAATTTGATGGTAACACTCAACTTGTGATGTGTAACAACCCGAACCTTGATTGTACACTCCAGAACCTTTTGGGGTACATTGGGGGGGGGGGGGGCCTTATGTAACACTCCAAACTGTGATGTGACACTCCGAACTTGTGGAACCTCCGAACCTTGTGAGTTAACCTTAACCTTGAGTGTCACTCGAACCTTGTATGGAACATCAGAACTTGTGTGTGTACACTCCAAACCTTGTGATGGAACACTCCGACTTGTGAGTGTACACTCAGACCTTTGATGGTAAACTCCGAACCTTTGATGTAAACCTCCAGAACTTGTTGTACACTCAGACCTTTATTGAAAACTCCAGAACCTTTGATGGTAACACTCCAAACCTTGTGAGTGTAACCTCCAACCTTGTGATGGAACACCCGAACCTTTTTAACACCCGAACCTGTGTGTGAACACTCCGAACCTTGTATGTGTACCTCCAGAATTGTGTGTGTAAACACCAAATTGTTGATTTTTTTTTTTTTTTTTTTTTTTTTTTTTTTTTTTTTTTTTTTTTTTTTAAAAAAAAAAAAAAAAAAAAAAAAAAAAAAAAAAAAAAAAAAAAAAAAAAAAAAAAAAAAAAAAGCCCTTTATGTTAACACTCCGAACCTTGGAGCACACTCCGAACCTTGTGATGTGTAACACTCCGAACCCTTTATGCGTAACACTAAAAATTGTGATGGAAACACTCCAGAACCTTGTGAGGACCTCCGAACCTTGTTGGGTTTTTCCCGTTTTTTGAAACTCCGAACTTGTGATGGTTACACTCCAGAAACTTTGTGGAACACTCCAGAAATTTGTGTACATCCGACCCCTTTATGGAAACATCCAGAACCCTTTTATGGTACACTCCAGAACCTTTTGGGGTGTAAAATCCAGAACTTTTGGGTTTTAAAACTCCAAAACCCCTTTTGGGGTGTTAAAACCCCCGAACCTTTTTTGGGTGGTAAACATCCTGAACCCTTTTATTTAACACTCCGGGAACCCTTGTGATGTGTAAACTCCCGAATTGTGATGTTTAAAATCCGAACTTGTGATGTGTAACACTCCGAAAACCTTTTAGCTAAAACTCCGACCTTGTGATGTGTAACACTCCAAATCCTTGTGTGTGTAAAACTTGAAAATTGGATGCGAACACTCAAACCTTTTGTGTAACATCCAAACCTTGTGATAAACCTCCCGAAACCTGTGATGGCTTTGATGTGTAACACTCGAACCTTGTGATGTGTAACACTCCAGAACCTTGTGATGTGCAACACTCCAGAACCTTGTGTGTGTAACACTCCCCGAACCTTGTGATGTGTAAAAACTCCGAACCTTGTGATGTGTAACACTCCAGAACCTTGTGATGTGTAACACTCCAGAACCTTGTGATGTGTAACACTCCAGAACCTTGTGATGTGTAACACTCCAGAACCTTGTGATGTGTTACACTCCGAACCTTGTGATGTGTAACACTCCGAACCTTGTGATGTGTAAACACTCCGATCCCTTTTGATGTTGCAACACTCCAGAAACTTGTGATGTGTAACACTCCTGAACCTTGTGATGTGTAACACTCCAGAACCTTGTGATGTGTAACACTCCAGAACCTTGTGATGTGTAACACTCCGAACCTTTTGAGTGTAACACTCCAGAACCTTGTGATGTGTAAAACTCCAGAACCTTGTGATGTGTAAACTCCTAACCTTGTGATGTGTAACACTCCAGAACCTTGTGTGTGTAACACTCCAGAACCTTTTGATGTGTAACACTCCAACCTTGTGTTGTGTAAACTCCAGAACCTTGTGATGTGTAACACTCCAGAACCCTTTTGATGTGTAACACTCCAGAACCTTGTGATGTGTAACACTCCAAACCTTGTGATGTGTAAACACTCCAGAACCTTGTGATGTTAACACTCCAGAACCTTGTGATGTGTAACACTCCCAAAACCTTGTGATGTGTAACACTCCAGAACCTTGTGATGTGTAACACTCCAGAACCTTTTGATGTGTAACTCTCCAGAACCTTGTGATGTGTAACACTCCAGAACCTTGTGATGTGTAACACTCCTGAACCTTGTGATGTTAACACTCCAAACCTTGTGATGGTAACCCCGAACTTTTGTGAACACTCCGCCTTTGGGTGTGAACCTCCAGAACTTGTGATGTGTAACCTCCGAAAATTTTGATGTGAACACTCCGAAATTGTGATGGTAAAATCCGAACCTTGTGATGTAACCCAAACCTGGAAAATTGTTGTGTTTAAAAATCCGAACCTTGTGTTTTGAAAAATCCAGAAACCTTTTGTGTTAACCTCCGAACCTTTTATGGACATCCGCCGGGGATGTGTAAACTCCGAACCTTGTGAGTGTAAACCTGAAAATTTTGATGTGAACACTCCGAACCCTTTTGTTTTGAACACTCCAACCTTGTGATTGTAAACTCGAATTTTATGTTAACATCCCGAAATTGTGATGTGTAAAACCCCCGAAACCCTTTTATGTGTAAAAATCCGACCTTGTGATGTGAACACTCCGAACCTTGTGAGGAAACTCCGAACCTGTGATTGTAAAACTCCGAACTTGTGATGTGAAATCCGAACCTTTTGTGTT